GCTTGAGAGAGCCTTCCTCCCACCTCTTTGTGGCTTTTAATAAACTCCATTTCCAATGTTGTACTTGTTCTTGTGAATAACATGCATTCTCCAACTGATGCTTTTTTATTTTTTTATAATTCATAAAATAAAGTTTGTTGATTGTGCTTCTCAAATATCCTATACACTTATTGAGCTCACTTTTAAATTATTGCCTTAAAATTTTTCTTTATAACAAGCAAATACTGTATCATGCCTTAAACCCATCTGAGTTTCAAGTAGAAGTCACCATTCTTAAAGGGAAAAAAAATAGTTCTACCTAGAATCCAAGACAACAGCTGTGATTTCTTGTTGTCTCCCTTTGCAATTTTTTTTCATAAGTCCGTCATTTAGCTAACTGTGCGGCCCTTTGCCAGTCCTGGCTTTACGATGGAGTCTTCAATCTACTCCCTGCCCTGTCGACTCCCCTATAGCTACGTGCACCAGGGATAGTAAATATTCCCAGAGCATCTAGCACCTTCACCGAGTCCTTACTCTCTCAGACTCTTCTTCCAGCCCAGACTTCTTCTAGTTCTCCTTCCTGTTCTTTGTTGATATCCAAAATTTTACAGAACTCCTCCTACTTTCACATAAGCTTACAAATTCATGTTAAGTGAAACTTTAAAATATTTTATCCAGCATTATTCGGTGTTTTGTAGTGGGAGAGATTCTTTTTTTCTTTTTGTTTTTTTTTGGGGGTCACACTTGGATTGGGGATCCCAACCAGGGAACAAACCTGGGCCTTGGCAGTGAAACCACTGAGTCCTAACCATTGGACCACCAGGGAATTCACTGTATTGGATGAGTTTCTGCTAGTGTATCTTTCTTACTTTAATCATCACTCCCCCCCCCCCCAGCTCTTTTCCTGCCAATGTCCCAGTCTAAAAACATTTTATGATGTAAAAGAGCCATGCTGTTCTCTTTCCTTCTTTGCTCTAATTCCCTGCTCAGCTTTTATTGTATTTATTTTAGTTTTTATTCTGGTTGCTTGCAGATGAAGGGAGAGCACTTACAAATTGTTCTACAAAGTACTGAAGAGGATAAAGAGGTGGGACAGCCTTGTTAGCAAAAGAGTAACAGAAAGAACTGCTGTCCAGCTTTATAGCTGATACATACGGCATGTAGGTGATCTCCTATGGTTATGACTGAATATTGCCTCTTCTTGAGCCCCTGCAGATCTGCTAGGTCAGAGCCTCGGGGTAGGGGTGGGGAGTGAAGACTGACAGTGGACATTTGAACAAATTGTTCACATGATCGAGAGTCATACCAACGTCTGGGAAGCCCTGATTCCTGGACCAGACGTTGGTCCCTTGATTTCTCAGTCAGGCAGGCAGTAAGGAGAGATAAAGTGACCTTTTTCTAATTGGACACAGCATGGATGGATGATTAATTTGCACTTTTCGTCCAATTACAGTAATGTGGCAGGCAAGAAGTATTCCTCCCAGACTCTGGAACATATTTAACAGGAAATATCAGATGTTGGCAGTGTGTTTTATCAAGAGTACAGTTATTTTAGTGAGAATTTGAGAGAGAAGTTACCTAGAGGTTATGATGGACATCTCTTAAAATGAAACAGCTCTGGTTCATCTCTTACATATTAAACATTCCCAAGGTCTCCTCTCTCCCATTCAGCTTCACAGCCACCAGTAGGGGTTCCTCCTTTCAAGTAGATATTTTGGTTTTTTTTTACTGTTACATAGCTGGAACTTGATGCTTCTTGTCTTACTCAATTCACAGTCCATGTCACTGCTTAAAATGTGATCAAATACGATCAGTTGGGTCATTGAGTATTGACCTCATTTGCCTATAAGGTGAAGTCCAACCTCTTCATTTAAGATTATCTAGCCAAACAAGGTTCTTCATAATGTTTCTGTCTGACAATACCTTCCCACACTTCAAAGACCATGCATGGCTCTCTCGCCTGGCTGGTCTCACTGTCTGCATCAGTTAATCACGCTTGTCTAGGCTTCTACTCATGCAGTCTACCACTCTTTGTTTACCCAAATCTAAACTAACCTTCAAAATGAAGCTCAGATGCTCCCTTTTCTCCCGCTCAGTAATCTCTTTCTCAGATTACAGATCTGTGACTCCAAAGTCTTTACCATTTTTCAGTTTCTCAGAGGTTAGTGTGCAAACTCTTTCCCCTCGCATACAACATAGCCCCGGTTTCTCTGTCTGGTCTCATATCTACAAACTACTTTATGCACTTGATCCCTACACACAGTGACTCACTTTCTGATTCTCAGTCATGCCACGTATTTTCAGCTTTTGTACCTTTGTACCTGTTCTTCCTTCTGCCAGACACGACCTGCCCTTCTCTCAGCTGGAAAGATTCTTGCATATCCTTTAAGAAGCACTTCCAACCGTATCTCCTCTGAAATCTCCCTGACCTCTGCCAGGGGAAGCACTCTGCCCCAGAGTACTTTGAGTCTAAATATCCTAAACGTTGTGTTGTAATTTTTTATTTGTACGTTTGTCTTCTATACTTGATGTAAGCCCATTGCTACACAGAACCTGTCAGAATACTGTTTATGCAATAGTTGCTGAGTAAATGATGCTGAATGAACGAACACTGTAATTTGTATTGATTTCCCCAGTGTGATAACTCTAAGAACTCTTTCTGCTTATACCAATCAAATTGCTAAATTACCTTAGATTATTCTTCCAGTAGTTTGAAGCATTTTCTGGATTCCAGCAAGATTAAATAGAAATGCCCCAACCAAGGTACTTAACTTTTCCAGCCTCAGTTTCTTCATCTGTAAAATGGGGGATAATAATAAAGTGTTGCTGTATGAAATAAGATAATGCATTAAAATATTTAGCACGATGGCTGACATATACGATGCACTCAAAGTGGGAGAAGTATTTTATAAACTGTTACATTCTCCCCTAGCAGTCTGAAGGGTTGTTGTGAAGTTGGTATGAGAACATACATGTGTAACCACGTTGTCATGCACTATGCAAACATAGTTACTTCATTTTCACTGTCTCCCCAACTATGTTAGAGGCCTGTTTCAGCCTGAACATATGAAGTCCAGTCCTCAGCAAAGTGAACAGTCTCATCCAGCTCAGCTTCTTTCCTTTTTCATTAGAAAATATTTATTTGGCTGAACCTGGTCTTTGCTGTCGCATGCAGGATCTTTGATCTTCAATGTGGCATGGGGAATCTTCAGTTGGGGCATGCAAACTCTTAGTTGTGCCAAGTAGAATCCAGTTCGCTCACCAGGGACCAAACTCAGGCCCCCTGCATTGGGAGCTCAGACTGTTAGCCACTGGACCCATAGGGAAGTTTCCTCAGCTTTTTTCTTGTAAAGTCTCCTACCCACTTTCTTCTCAGCACCCATCACAGTGTCACACATAAAGTAGGTGTTCAATATAATTTAAAGATGGTAACAGCTCCAGAATTAGCAAGGCATTTAGCTCAAAGTGAAGTCTTCTGCATTCTTATTGTCTGATGTTTATTTTGTGTGACAATGTAAACATTTTGCCTTGCTCAATGCACTCCTGATGTTCTGGAGATGTGGTATAGTTACATTAGTGTTAGTTTGCTCTGTGGTAGTACCACTTCCCCTTTTGGCATGCATGACAAGGAGGCAGCCTTAGCCAGTGTCCTATTTTCTTCTCTTACTAAAGACATAGATTATACTTATGTAACTCTTGCACCAGTCCATCCTAAAGGAAATCAGTCCTGAACGTTCATTGGAAGGACTGAGGCTGAAGCTGAAACTCCAATACTTTGGCCACCTGGTGTAAAGAGCTGACTCATTTGAAAAGATCCTGATGCTGGGAAAGATTGAGGGCAGGAGGAGAAGGGGACGACAGAGGATGAGATGGTCGGATGGCATCACCGACTCAATGGACATGGGTTTGAGTAAGCTCCGGGAGCTGGTGATGGACAGGGAGGCCTGGTGTGCTGCAGTCCATGGGGTTGCAAAGAGTCGGACATGACTGAGCAACTGAACTGAACTCTTGCATGGGAGAATGACTCAAAAAGTGTTTGATTTGGTCCTTACTGACATTTTGTCCAGTGTATTGCCAAGATGTGAGTTTTCTGTTTAGAATTTATTAAGGTGTGATAATAAAACATGCAGGGGAACAAAAAAAAAAAAAAGGATTAGGCTTTCAGGTACTGATTGAATACACAGATATGGTTACAACAAATCCAGATAGGTGTACCCACAATCTCCAGAAGACTTACCCAATTCTGGAAAGGGTTTGAAGCAGTGTACTGAAAAGCTATGGTTTTGCCAGTAGTCACGTATGGATGTGACAGTTGGACCATAAAGAAGGCTGAAGAATTGATGCTTTTGAAGGTGGTGTTGAAGACTCTTGAGAGTCCCATGGACTGCAAGGAGATCCGACCAGTCAATCCTAAAGTAATCAACCTTGAATATTCATTGGAAGGACTGACACTGAAGTTGAAGCTGCAATACTTTGGCCACCTCATGCGAAGAGCCGGCTCATGAGAAAAGACCCTGATGCTGGGAAAGATTGAGGGCAGGAGGAGAGGGGACGACAGAGGATGAGACGGCTGGATGGCATCACCGACTGACTCAATGGACGTGAGTTGGAGGAAGCTGCCGGAGACGGCGAAGGACAGAGAGGCCTGGCGTGCTGCAGTCCATGGGGTCACAGGGAAAAAGAAATACACGAAGACCGGGCCACTAACCAAGAAAGAGTGACACCATCAAAGGCTCCTCACACCCTTCAGCATCTCCTGAAGCCCCGAGCGCTGACGGGACGGCTTGGAGCCGCCGGAGGCCTGTCCGGGGAGTCCGGGGACGCGCGGCAGGTGAGGGCGAGGCGCGCCCCGGGGCCACCCGGCGGCACGTGTCTCCGCCGCTCTCTGCTGGGTAGCGCGGGGGAGGCGTTTGCGGTCTCTGAGCCTCCTTCTGTGACGCGAGGGGCCTGGCTTTAGGTTCCTTATGATCTGAAATGATGCTTTCTCCTGACCCCAGTGGTTCCTTCACCACGCACCCCGGGATTCTGACTTAGATTACAGTTCACGCAGGGGTTCACGCAGCTGCCCTCAGAGGCTGCGGAAAGCTGGGCCTGACCTTACTCTCCGAGTCCCCGGGGTCTGGATGGAGGTAGTGCGTGCCACGTTCCAGTCAGGGCTGGCCGCCGCTGACAAGTGTACGTCCTCGCCAGAGAACCCCTTGGTTATCTTTTAAATGTATCCGCGAGCCTTTCTGTCGAAGTTCTGCTTGCAAGTTTTCTTTTCTCCCAGTTCACGATGTCCTAGAACCCAGACCGCAACTTGATTTAGTTTATTAAACCCTGACTATATGATTGAGGTCATGGAGACCTAGAAAGGAAAAGTGACTTCCTGCAGATCACACAGCTAACCCTTGGCAGTGCAAAGCTCGAGTCCTAAGCACTGGACCCCCAGGGAATTCCCTGCTCAGATTTCTAAGCGAAATATTTCCAGGCTCTGCCCGGCTGGAGTTAGATCCTTCGTGCTGGTTAAGGATGAATGGCAGAGTGATTCTAGCCAAGATATTTAGCGTCGTTGCTAAAAATAAGGGAGATTTTCACTGTAAAATTGCTAGTTTCGTTGTTCCTCTTGCACGCTGCTCCCCCCACCCACCAATAATTTTCCTGTCAGAAATGAGGGAGATTAAGTCCTATCCATTTCATTCATTTCATTGAACAAATGCTTTTTTCTTTTTTCCTGTGTAGAGTTTTAGTTCAGATTTTGCCCCTTTTATCAATTATTTTATGTTTCTAGGGTGTTTTCTTTTTTTTTTTTCCCATTCTTTGAGCTGCTTGTTTCTCCTTTGCCTTAGCAGGGGTCAAAGGTACAAGGATAGCATAATCTATAACTCAGGCTTTAGAATGAATCACCCTGGGTTGGAGCCCATTTCTGCACTGCGTGTGTGTGTGTGTGTGTGTGTGTGTGTGTATAAATATGGGGATTTGAGAGTAGGTTACCTAGTTTTGTGTCCCAGTTTTCTAAACTGTAAAATGAGGATAAGGAAAGTATGTTAGATAGGATTGTTGTGAGGATTTAATTAGTTATTAGGATCCCAGGCATATATTAATGTTCATAGGATCCCAGGCATATATTAATGTTCAAAGTTAGCTTCTTTATTATTCTTAGTATATTTTCAGCTATGTGAGATTTATTCTGTTTTCTTCACTTTAAAAGAAATGAAAACAGTTCCTTTTAGGTTTGAACTATGAGAACTATCTAGGTGGGCTGTTGCCTGTGTGTGTGCTGAGCTGCTAAATTGTGTCTGACTCTTTTTGGTCCATAAACTGTAGCCCAGCAGGCTCCTCTGTCCGTGGGATTTTCCGGGCAAGAATACTGGAGTGGGTTCCCATTTGGTCTTCCAGGGGACCTTAACAGGGTTAAGTCATGTGAACTTTAAAAATTATTTGTTCTTTGTACATGAATAATGCATGTTGATTATAAAAACATTTAGACATGTCCTCAAAATGTGTATTATGTTGAGCAAATCAAAGTACAGTCTTTGCTGCAAATGTACTCGTGTACACATTACTAATGACATATTCACTTCTTAGACTCAGTCACTTAGCATCATGACACAAGGAGTAAATTATGTTAACCCTACTTGCCTTGCTATTACAAAGATTCTTAAGGTTGAAGATATGAGGACTGAGGATAAATGTACCTGGAGACTTACCAGAGATCTGGACTCAAGTAAAAACAGCTGTGAGCCAGGTAAACTGGAGGCAAGCTCTGGGCTTCCCTAGGATGTGTAACATTGGCCATCAAGGTTGGAGTGTCCCCTTTTGAACCAGATGTCACACATAGACAAATGTAAGCCACAAATAGCAGTGTGCCGTAATGAATTACAGTTTAGATTGGGAAGATGTGCTCATTTGCACTCAGCCATGTGACTAGTAACTCATCTCTCTGCCAGTAATTGACATTGCTTCCTAGTAGTTTGGAAAAAGAACAACAAGGTACATAAACAATAGATATAAATTATATACTATTCTTATCTCTCCTAGGCTGTATGTATGTCTTATTTATTTTTACATTCCTTTTTGTGCCTGTCAACTCGTTGTACCTAATAAGCATTCCGTGTCTTATTATGTTCCAGTTCATACAGAGCAGGAGCAGGAGTGACTGGAATTTGCTGTGTTGGCCTTCAAGATAGGAGCTTTATAAAGTCTGAGAAACAGAGGGAAGAGAGGGTCATTTTGTTTAAAAAAAAAAAAAAAATCCCGAATGTACCGCTTTTTATCCTTTGTCTAAACATCCATAATTTGCAAATTCTTCATATCTCTTTATACTTCAATTAGTTGTATTGTCTCTTGGTTTTAGAAGAAAGAGTTTAACGAGGAGGTTAGCTGCTGCAGAGTTCCTTTGTTGTTTTGGCCGTCTAAGCTGCTTGTGATATCTTAGTTCCCTGAGCTGTGGTTGAACTCTGGGCCCTCAGCAGTGAGAGTGCAGTCTTAACCACTGGACTTCCAGGGAATTCCCTGCAAAGAATTTTCAATAAAGATTATTATAGTGTTTCCTGAGAAAGAGACAGATTAGTTCAGTAGGACTCTGATGTCAAACAGGCACAGGTCTATCATGGATCAAGTGATAATATGGAAACATAACTCTGTAAATCCACTTTGACATGTTGAGCACCGTCCTTTTATACCATTGTTATTAAAGGGATTCACTACTTTATGACTTTTGTGTATAAGTTTTTTAATAGAAGTATTTAAAAATTGTGTGTAAGACATCTATGTTCGTTGTAAGTAAAATACAGACAAGTCCTCTAAAATGGAATCTTTCCATGCGGATTCATGATTGTCTTTTTTTGTGTTAATGTTATCAGGTTTTGTAAAATAATATATTATTATGTATATGAATACAAATTTCTTTTTAAAAAATTGAATCATGTGTGTTTTATAATTTATTCTCAGCTATTATTGTTAATGTATTAATATGGTAATAAATATTGCTCTATATGGTTATTTTAAATAGGCATTAAATTCATATATTTATCCATATAGTTTATTTTACCAGTTTCCTGTTGTTAGATATTCAGGTTATCTATTTTTAAACATATAAAGGGTGTAACAAACATCCATATATATATTTGTGATTTTAAGATTATAACCTTAGTTTATAATAGAATTAATGACTTTGGGGAAGGGAAATACGGAACTCCTGCTTCAATTCAGAAATACAGTATAAAGGGAAAAACCTATATGTGTGTGTGCAAGTCTTAGCTCTGTATTTACTAGGCTTTGAACTTCAGGGAAATTATTAACTACTTTGCACCTGAGGACAGTGAGTTTTGTGTATTAAAGAAATAAAATCCCAAGACAGTTGTAAGCTAATAAATTGCTAGGAAAACAATTTATTGGGAACACAGAGACTAACCTGGAAACTGCTGATGTATTTGGTTTTCTCTTGGGTCTAAGTTTTGTATTAAAAAAAAAAAATGATGACACTTACATGGTTCTTAACTGAGGTAATTCCCCTTCCCCCGGGGCATTCTACAATGCCTGAAGGCATTTTTCTGTTGCCCTCACCAAGAGAAAGGGGGTGCTACTTGTATCTAGTGGGTAGAAGCCCTTGAATCTGCTCAACATTCTACCACTCTATAGGACATCCCTTCACAATAAACAGTCATCTGGCCCAATAAATCAGTCTGTTGAGAAACCTTGCTGTTGAGAAACCTAGAACTAAGCCAACTTCTTTGGTTGGTTTAGTTCAAAGTTGCAGGTCATTGAATTGTGAGTCTGTTTCAGAGTTGAATGCCCTAAGGTGTGTATATTAATTAACTTGATTCGTAGTCTACAATTTGGCAGGCAAGAAGCATTGCATCTCCCATTTTAGAAGGAGGGCTGCCCATGGATGTGCCTGAAATATGTAACTAAGAAAAGCATTTTTGAGATAGATAAAGATCTTGACAATAGAACATCTTTGAAATATCTGAGGAAAATACCTGCAATTCTCCTGGCTTAGCCAAAAATTAAATAAAAACTTATCAGTCATACAAAAAATGTAAAGACTTACTAGAAACTATCAAATAAACTTCTGGCAAAGCTATATACTACAACATTTGTTGATTAAAAACTGAAGAAAGAGCAAAATCTTTTTGATATTCAGTCCACACTGATAGCCACAAAGGAAAACAGATGACAGAGGATAGAGGATATAATTGGTGAAATTCTCTATGAACAGAAGAGTAATGACAAATCAAATCTTTACCATAAAGTAATACTTTAAACAAAAAAACTTAAAAGTGCTTTATAAAACTTGATCAAGAAGTCCTTTTGGCTTAATTTTATTCTAAAGTTAATCACTTGATGAAAATGTATAACTCTTAGTATTGTTTTGATTGAAATGTTTGTTCTCAGAATATCCTCAGGGTCAAAATGTCCTGTATTCCTCTCTGAGTATGTATCTTCTTTGTAAAATAGGAATAGTAACACTTGCTCCACCTGCCTTTATTATACGAAATTTGTTGTATTAGTTAGCAGTCATGAGGTTTTCAGTGACAGAAATATGTACAGAAAAACATGTCATTGGTTCACATAGATGAGCAGTTCAGTGACTTCAACCTCGGCTAGATGCAGGATGTCAGAATATCTTTAGGGCTTGGGCTCTCTGCCTTTCCCCTTGGTTCCACCACTCTCTACTCTTCTTTTGCTGAATCTGATTTTTTGCTGTATTGGTTTCAGTGTCTAGCAGGCTTTCTTAAGGTGGTAGCAGCAATAGCCTTACTGACAGGCCTAGGTTTTGACCGTCCTTACAGCTCACAATGTGAGAAGAGAGGACACCTTTTCCTGTGAGCTCCGACAAAAGTCCTGGCGAGAACTTTCACAGGCCAGCCTTGGATCATAGGCCCATCTCTCAAACAGCCACTGTGGTCAGAGAGTGGCGTGTTCTGACAGGGCTTGTGCAGGGTGTTCATTTCTGGGCATTTGGGTGCAGGGGTAAAGGTTGGGCTGAGCTCACCCAAAACAAGTGGGGCTTATTCTCCACTAGAGAGAGGGAGTCTGTTGTCAAAAGAGGGAAGAATATTGGGCATGTAAAAACAAAACAGCTGTCCACTAAAAATTGAGTGGTCCACTACTCAAAAATTTAGTGAGTCCACTAAAAATATCCAAACATATTTGTCCAAGAGTAAGTGTAATATAAAAGATACTATTAA